AACTCACTCCAATAGTTAGTGTCTTTATGAATTAATAACATAGCCTAGTCCTGCCAAGTTATTGATATACCAGTAAACATTAAGTGTTGGGGACTATCCGAGCCTATAACATACTAATTGGAAGTCAGTTGTTTAAACCATTAACTACTCTATCATGTACAATATGTAATAATCATATACTAACTGAAAACATCATACAATCCAAGTGCATTCGATTTTGTTTTTACTTTAAAATAACTAACAAACAATTTGTTATATCAGTTATCACTCAATCATTTTACTTATACATGATGTTTACATAGTGTGTATTGTATATTGGTTTTTTCTGTTTTTAGTTACACTTCCATATAATCTTATAAATGTGATTGTTTTATTTTTAATCAAATCTATTGTACTATACTGTTAATTGTGAAACTTGTGATCTTATTAACATCAGCTTTGTATATTCTGCTAATTGTTAACATTGATACATCATATTCACAAATGAAATTATTCATTAAAAAAATGTATATGGAAATAAGAAAGACTAGCTATCAACATTCCACAAATGAATATCAGTGGTAGATAATCATTGTTTAAAGGAAATTTTAAAATAAAATATCATGAATTCATTTATTTCATGGATTCTCCTCCGTTGTTTATAATCTAGAACCAAAGTATTAATCATGAAAAAGAAATAACCTTACAGATTTTATATCAGAACCTTCTAGAATAATAGAATAGAATGTAAAGACAAAAGAACTATAACTGTTCAAACATTCGCTTATTTATTGATTAAATAGTTGAATATTGTAGAAAAGCATAGAGACAGTAGATTATGTAATATAGACTAGTTTACTTAAGCTCAGAAGTAAGTATTAGCATACTAGAATTTTGATTACATTTTATGAAAAAATAAAAACAAAGTCCTACATAATATATTTTTGATTGAGACCATGAACCGACTGATGTTATACCACCTTTGGGAACTTGGAAGCACTGGACGGCCGTTTCGTCCTATCGTGAGACTTCTCAGTAGTGCGCATCCACGATCCCGCTCGCGGGATTCGAACCCAGAGTCTTCGGTCTTGCGCGCAAACGCTTAACCTACTGAACCACTGAGCCGGCATCCAATGGTGATAATGTCTAACATCAACCAATCCACGAAATTGCGCGACCATCTTCCATTGTAATGAGATAGATACCTGTCTCTACCCGACATGGATTAGCCCCACTGATCACATAATAATCTCACAGAAATAAAATCGTCAGGGTAAAATATGATGTCTAATTGTTTCTTTATGGATACATGAATTAGGTTTAAATTGTTTGATTGTAATAGATTCGGTAAAGTGTAACAGTTTAGGATTCCTTTGTTTATTGATTATTTTGAAAGATTTCACAATTTACACACAACACAAATAGGAAAAGTTGTATAAAACATTTTATTTGTTTTTCTTTTTTAATAGTTACTAGTTAAGTACTTAGGAATTAAAGAATTTCGCATAGTTTGTACGGAAAATTCTTAATTATATTTAAACATACATGGTGTTGAATAGGGAGAGTTTTATTATATTTTTGCCATTTAATGGATTAAAATGGAAAAGAAATGAAATCTATGAAATAGGTTTTGATTAATTGCAATAAAGATTCAAAGATATTTTCCAAATTAACTATGTGTGAAGAAATAATGTCATTTCTACTCTTGGTTTATTGATTTATCGAGTGTTAATTATAACAAAATTTCATTTACTTTTTAATAGCTGTTAGAAAACAAGCCCATGTGAGTCAGATAGACTGGACAACTAATACTATAGAGAAGTAAGAAACTGAAAAACTTTGGAAAATTGCAAAAAACCGAAATTGTAGTGAAACTACTTTTTTATATAGTGACAGCTATGACCTTGTAACTTAATAAAACTAAAAAACTAAAGGCGAAAGTAATCAATCAGGTTACACAGAAAGAGGTCAATGAGATGGTGTAGTTTTGAAAAAACCATCAAGGACCTTCTTGTATTATTGATTAATTGGGAGGTAGGAAGGTAGGTCATTTGAGACTTTACCAATACTGATATCAATCCCGCTCCAAGACAATCCAATATACTAACTTTTTAAAATACAAAATCCCATGTCTTATCTAAGTAAATAATGTAGTATGATGTTTACTCTTAAGAAAAACTATTACTACTGAAGCCAACACTTATTGATTCCTAAACTGTGTCACATAGATGCGATAATATATGCACACAAGAACATTAATTAGTTAGAAGCAGTCACTGAGATATTGATGTTGTGATCCATAACAACAATCCATAGACTTAATGATAACTGATACTCTGCATCTTTCAGTGTCCCGAACAATATAGTGAACGAGAACTCAGGTGGGGAACAAAAATTTATTGTTTGATGAACAATCACACAGTGCTTTAGTAAAATGTGAAAATCGTCCATCAAATACATAATCTGCATATCTTTCAGCTGTCCTTTGCATCCCTCATGATTCTTCCAATTCTGCTTTAATTCCAATTCCTTTCTGTTCTCTTCAGTTTAATCTTCTTTTGACAAGCATCCCACTTCCCATTGATGTTACATACTACTGATGTCTGTCGACACGAGTAGCACAAATCACGGTGTCATTATTTATTGTTTCATTCAGGTCGTGGATGCGCACCGCTGAGGAGTCGCACAATAGGACGAAACGGCCATCTAGTGCCTCCAGGTTTTCCATGGTGGTCTAGCTTCAATTGACCCATGATCTCAACCACTGGAATTACTATAATATCCACAAAATGCTTCTGATATGAATCATTTAGATATATTTTCACATTGCTATTAAATCAGTATCCTAGTTCACTAAAGTTATAATGATAATATCCTTATAAACAATATAAAGAATTTGAAATTACTTCGGTGATAAACTATGTTTGAACTGTTTGATCTGATTCTCTATGATTGTTTTTATATACGTTTAATATTGAACTGCGAAATCTAACTTATTTTATAAATGTTAATGAAACTGATTAACAATTCATATCATAGACTTGAGTTTTAACGAAATAAATAAATTTAGGTTTTTGAAATCTGTAATGAGATAAACTTAATAGTCAGTTGATTATCGTATAGTGTTCACATTTGATAGTTTCTTCTATCTACACTTTGACAGTACATATAAACTGATAAATTTCTATTGGAAAACAATATGAAATTATGTTAAGTTGTGGATTTTCAACAAAAAAACTATTCAACCAGAGCTGAGACTATTATTATTATTATTATTATTATTATTATTATTATTATTGCCATCATCATTATTACCGTTCAACTTTCACTAATATGAAACAGTCACTATAAATGTCAGGCAATCATTCCGCTTCATTTTGTGTCTGTATAACAATACGATTCGATTTGTATATCTATCCTTCATTTCAAATCAGCTTATATATATAAAGTTTAACTTATTATTATTACTATTTTTTTACTAAATAAAATGGTGTTACTATCTCTATAACCCATTTCAATACCCTAAGAGTAGTTAGTAAGTTAGAAGCAAGCTATTGAATAATAATTTGTTGTTGTTTTTTTTCACGAGAATTTTTATTTCATCCCTGTTAAACTTGGTGGGATTTCTCTCATACCTTTTCTTTTTGTTCGAAACATTTTGTAAGAGAAGTAATAATCTTAAAAAACAACACAAAGATAACTGAAAACAAAATGGATTTTAAAAAAAAGGTAACAAATAGTCTATGATACATAAAGCAACAAAGATAAGTTCTATTCAAATACTCTAATCCACTTAAATTACAATTTATACTATGAGAAAATTAGTAGATTGTTATGTGTTTCCATATTGGTGTTTTGTGAATAATTTTTTCTTGTCGTTGATGTTGTTATTGTTGTTGTTGTTGAAAAATTCCAATACTTCAACTTCAAAATTATAATCCTTATACATATTGCTCTTTTTTCTGCCAGTTCTTCTTCGTCATTGTCTTGCTAATAGAAATGATATTTTTCTTGTTATTTCACTATTTTCCATATATATGTTGACGGAAAAAGAAGTGACTATTTAAATTTAAACATTAATCCGTTTAGGGAATATCATCATGAATCTAAGTTGCAGTTCGATCTTCGAGCAAGTTTTTTTTAGAAAAAACGGTTGAATGTAGAGTACAATATGTTTGAAATCTACTTTCTTACGTAATCATTTTAGTAATGTGCAATAAAATATTAAGATCAAGGTATTACATTTGATGTGATCAGGTTGTTAATAATTTTCTATTGAATACTGATTGATCTCTGAATGGTAACGATTGATATAGCTATTTATCCCATAGACATGATTGAATTCTATCAAGCTAAAATGTGATATTGGTCTAAATGATTCAACATCATTTATGCTAAGTTATTTGATGGCTATCAGTGAGAAGCTATGTATTTTGAGGGCTGATGGTTTTACATTAAATTAATCATCGGAGGTATGTGGTGGTACAAATAATCTAAAGGGATTAGTGAAAATGAACGACTAGGGTTTATACTTCACGATAAGCATCAGTATTTTCAAGGCAGCAGTGACCTCTTGTTGATATCTTTCATTTAACACAAAACCTAGTTTTAGGATTTTCTGTTAATAGCCTACAGCCATAGTGGGATTAAAATGAGCACTGGTAAACAGTCTTATACAATCCTTTCTGATTTTCAATGGTTTTCTTTAACGACTTCCAGTCTTCGGTTTATAAGTCAATAAATTTAAATAAGTGACTTTATAGTTCTAAATCTCGACAGTAAATCTCAACATTTTAGGAATAAATTCATGACATAATACAGATATTTTGATCGATTCATGTTAACACTGACAAATTAGTGTTTATTTGAGTAGAAGAATTAGGAAATAAGTAGTATTCATGGTTCTATTACGTTTAAATCTTTTTTTTCTATGATAACAACAGTTTGAATTATATACTTACTATTGATTTCTCTTTTTTTGTGCTTTTTTTCCCGAAAACAATAAAAAATGTATTTTTTAGATATACTCTACAATGTGTCCTTCCATTGAATATGTTCCTAGAGAAAATCTACATATTTCTATGGTTTTGGCATTGTTTAGTTGGTATAATTACATTGAGTAGTTTTATTATTTGGTTCTATCGTATGGGATCATCTAAATGTCGTATCAAATTCATTCGAAAATATCTAAAAATTATGTCAGTTATGCGTGATACAGATAAAGCGGCAACTAGTAAATTTGTTGAAAATTATTTACGTCCAGATGGTGTTTTTTTAATACGTTTAATATCAATAAATGTTGGTGATTTAATGGCTGGTGATTTAACTTGTGAATTATGGCATATTTATCGACATAAACGTTTACATGAAACTATGGAAGAACAAAAATATCTTGATGCATTTAGTAATACACCAGGCGATTATTTGATTAATAATAATAATAATAATAACAATAACAATAATAATGGTTCCAGTTATATTGGTGAAACAAATGATTTAATATTAGGCACAACTATACCATCTTCAAGATATTCAAATAAAAATCATTCACCAACTGCACCACCTAGTCAAAATGCAATCATTAGTACAACTTCAAATGTTACAGTATCTGGGCCAAATATCAATAATACAATGAATCATAGTTCTAGTAATAATGATGATAGTATTGTTTAATTGTATCGATTGAATCATATATATATTTTTTTCTTTAATAAACGATCAATAATTTGTAAAATGATGAATACTTATTACATATATATATAATTCTGTATATGCACATTAACATTTATCGCTTATATATATATATATATATATATATATAGTTAGCATTTTCTTACGTCATTTATCGATTATTTACGTTATATCTGTCAATTTTTAAATCAATAATTTGAACAGGTGCATTTCTAAAATGAATATCGATTATCATTATTATTATTCATAGACTACACGTGTTATTTTCATTTCACTAATAAGAGAATTTAAACTATTGATTTATTTTAAAAATTTAAATTTATTCAGTTAGTGATTAGTTGTTCACCATTTTTTTTGTTGTTGTTGTTTTGAAAAAAATCAATAATTAAGTAACTAAATAAGTAAATAGTATTATAAACATTGATGATAAACATGGCTGTGTTGTTTGTATTACAATACTAAAAAGGGATCAGGTTAAATTATATTTATCATACTATTTAATATCTAATTGTGTAGTATAAATATTATTTTATCATGTAAAATATATATTCAATCATATTTACTAGTTTAATCAATTAGAAACAAAACTAATTAATATTATTAGTAAATATATGTAAAGGAATTTAGTTTTCTAAAGAAAAAAAAACAAAAATATTTGCATTTTTGTTTGTTGTTTCTGTTTTTCCTCTTCATTGAATAACAAGTGTAATATTATTTATTCATTTGAAGTTTGATTTTATTCTCTTGAAATTTTTTGATCATTTTGCTTGTGAAGTTGTATATTGAGAAAAATTATGTGTAAAAAGTTACATTGAATTTTATAAATGAAGAATGTCGGTAACAAGTGTGAATTGATGATGGTGATGGTAAGAATTTACATCTTTTTAAGTAAAACATATAATCAATATTAACATGGAATTCATTTTTAATGTAGGCATCTTATCTATTTTGATTTTAATCCAGCTCTTTTACATTAGAGAAAGAGTTTGGTGTCAAATAATATAGGTGAACATGCACATTCTTTATATATATATATATATATATATATATATATATATATACAAAGCGTTTCGTACATGGTATATGTACATTTCTTTTTCATAATGGAAACTCATAAAGTTCACAATGTTAATTTGTATAATGAAACCGATCAGGTGAAGAAACACATGTAACTCATTCCTGTTTTACTCTTTGCACATCATTTTTATGGTTTCTCACTACTTTTTTGTTAAAATGTTTAATTCAGCGTAATTACATTATATGTAAAACAAAACTCATTCTCATTCAAAAATCTAGTCCTGATTTAACAAAAATTTTATTGTTAGTACAAATGAATTATACATATAACGTAAACAAAGTTTTTTGCTTTTCCACAAAAATAATCACACACACGTATACATTTACATGTACACATATAACCATTAAATCCCGGATAAATATAGAGTTTAAAACCAAAGAAATCTATTTCATTCTATATGCATTTATGTATTACAAATTATAAGGGTACCAAAAATACAATGATCAATTAACGAAATAAGTAGAATATCATAAAACTCTACCAGAGGAAAATAGCATGTTTACTGAGAAAGGCAGAAAGACTATCTACTATTTTATGTAAACAATTTGTTCTCATTAATCATTCATTTCTGTTTACAATGAATTTTTACATATATAAATTAATTGAAGAAAACAATTCATTCAATTTGTATACATTGTTTGAAGCAAGCAACCAATTAATCAGTCATTCATCAGTTCAGTTGTCCTTGATTATGTCTTCTCTTCAGATATCTTTTCTTGTTACTCTGTTTGTTATTTTCTTACTTTTGATTGTTTCTTCCCACCCCTACAACAGTCAATATCATTAACACATCATTATTACTGAAATCGAAAAAAATACAAGTAGTGGTGGAAAAGAGAAATGTCTTGCGTTTGTGACTTCTCTCTCTCTCTCTTTCTCTTTATATTTTTGTTTATTTTCTATATCTATATACATACAGAGTTATATGAAATGAATACAAACATTTATCCGTAAAACTACAAAATACCTATACAATAAAGGCAAAATGAAAACATTGTTTAGTTGAGCGTAAAAGTAAAACCATTTTCGTGATTCTTTGAATGAAAACAACAAAGACAACAACAACAAAAACTGGAAGTTAATTTATCTGGAATGGGATACTGAATGAAAAAATATATATTTATATTATAAATAAATATACAAACGCTTTTTTTTAAATGTAAAGTCTTGATACAATTTGTTGATCAATCAACTGATCCATTGATCAATCAGACATAGAAAACATACTCACCCACTCACTCACTCAATCACTCATTCACTCACCCACCCAATCACTGACATATGGTGCACATTATTTAAGACTAAGTATAAGATTTTTTTTTAGAAACAAATATTCCATATATATATATATATATATATATATATATATCCATATGTTTACTATGATTAATATTTGACTAAAGTCAAATACAATTTACAGAAAAATATAAAAAAATTTAGTACTATCAATGTTCTTTTATTTTGTTCAACGTGTTCAATTCAGTTCTCTATTTTTTTTTTGAAAATGTATCTCATATTTTATATATACAGAGAAGATTGAGAATAGGAATTAGTTATTATTTGTTGTCAGATCTAATACAAATGTGTACAATCTTAAGTTTTGAACAGTGTGGTGAATGGGAACATCAATGGAGACAGCCAATTTGTATTTCAATACAATATAACAGAATAACTTGGTAAAATCTAAGAATCATACAGTAAATACTTCATTTGCAAAATATCCATCAGTTGTCTTAGATTCTCTGTTCTCGTTCTCTTCTCCTCGGTTTTCTCAACCTTCTGCCGCTAAGCATTCTACTTACAATTAATGATCCATACTACTTATATCTGTCAACATCAGTAGCACATATCACAATAGTACACATTAATATACAAAGAAGAAAGGTACTTAGAATATGAGGAATGAATGTAGTGTGAAAAAAGTAAATGAGACTGATAAATAACAATCGTGAAACAGTGACAAAAGTTACAGAAAGAACTCAGGATCTAGAATAAGATGATGAAAAGAATTGAATTGATCTGAACAAGTACAACCGAGTTTGATCTTTAACCATTGAATGCAATTATTGCAGAAAGTCTAATCATCAAGTTTATACCTCTTGATATATACTATATTCAACAGTTATTATCCTGATCATCCGGTATCATATTCTGGCTTGGCTCAATTTTTCTCAGTCTACTTCTTTGCTGACCATATTTTTATTAATGACATTTTGTATCAAGTCCCTATTCTTTGTTCAAGTAGATTTAAAAACCAAACAAATCATGTAACCGTTAGAGAGTTCCAAAGTATTGCTCAAAAATGTCCATAAGGGCTTAGAAAGGGTTTGAAAACACTCGATCTAATCAGCGTTGAATGGAAAGTTCCCAGAAACATCTAGAAATCGGAGTCACGTTACGTTTCTGTTTACATGTTTACCTAGACTTCTATATTTAGTGTGGTTCCAGCAATTTCCAGAATTCGAATTGTGTATAACTCTATAAATCATAAACTAACCTTAAGGTCAAAGGTTTTTTACATAACTCTCGCCTTCTCTCTTACGTTATATTTGACGTAATTAAGAGCGACCAGGAAATTAGATCGAGCGTTCGGGTAGATTTTAAGACCAGAAAAATCATATAATATTTAAGTCATTTTGGTGTTATTAGTTATTTTTTGCATACTCGTAGGTTAAACTACGAATTTTAATGTACATTTTCATAAGTTTGTGTTTGTGAGTACCTGTATTATCCACTTATCTCATTAACTGTTTTGACCTGTATAAATTGGGTCACTAATTCATATGCTGATTGATTTCTCCGATCAACCCAAATACGTGAGATTTGATTGGAGTCAAGTCCACGTTATATCTGTTTATTCATTCTTAAGGGTATTTTGTTGATCGATATGCATGAAATACGACATTTCTCAATGAATTTCTTTTGAGAATTCTTAATATCTAATTTATAAAGTAAGGATGGTCACAACTGTTCAAGTCTAAGTAATGTATATGAATTAAAATCCCAGAAATCGATAAATTAGTGTTAGGTAAAATTATTAGGGAGTGACTGTACATATGCAACAAATGTCTCAGCTGGATCATTCCAAATCACATCCTCAAACATGATGTATATCTATATATAAGTGATGGTAAAGAGCCCTGATCGATCATTTGGTATAATAATAAAATAAGTCTTCATTTTCAAGACTATACAGAACTTTCACTAATCAGTTTACTCTTTAATTAGATATTATTCATAGACTGAGATTAAAAATCAAGGAGAAATTGAAAGATTCTTTGTAATAATATAAGATTATAAGCAACGATTGATTATGACCTCAACAGAAATTGAACTCAGAACTTACACATTGTTTGATCAATACTTAGCCATTAAACACAATTGAATTATCATTCAACTATGTATATTCTCAACTTCATTCAACATAATTCTCATTTCACATTGATACATTTAACGTAAGTTAATGTTGTAATAATCCTACTGAATCATTTCCAGATAAAATCAAAACTTTATTATTATTATTATTATTATTATTATTATTATCATTACTATTATTAGCACTGTTTCTATTCACAGCAGAACAACTGACATACATTTTCAACGTCAATACAAAAACATAAATTGTCATATCTATCAGATAATACATTCAATAAATTTACTTGACATGAACAAGTAACAAGTAAAGAAAAGAATTAACTAGGAAATAAAACATAAAAGGAAATAAGTCATGAAAATATGTATCTATGAAAGAAGTATTTCTCTTTCTTTTTTTCTTGAGATGTTTTGAAATAATAATATCCAATATTTTTGATTGCTTTAAAACGAATACTGAATAGTATTATATTCAATTTACGGAAATGTTATTAGTGATATAACTAAATCAAATGAATTAAATAAAAATGTT